GAATAATTTAACTGATGCCAGTTAAATTTCTTAGAAAAGAAACTGACTGCTCTGTCAATTTCCTGCTCATCATTCTGCATTAACACGGCTCCCGCTCCTACATGGCTAGCATCCACCTGCAACACAAAAGGATGGTCAAAACAAGGAGCAGCCAGCACTGGCGCTGAACACAAAAGGGATTTAACATTGCTAAAAGCCTCCTGGCACTCTGTTGACCACACAAATGGAACCTTGGCCTTCAGCAAATCAGTAAGCGGTGCCACAACAGAAGCACCAGTAATACCCTACCATCCCCAAACTCGCACTTTGTTAGATTTACGGTAAGCTTTGCCTCTGCCAACCGGTCAAACAGCGCTCTAATCTGCTGCATGTGCGAATACCACGAATCACTATAGACCACCAAATCATCCAGGTAAACTGCAACTGCAAAGCAACCAGCACCCCTCTCTCAACCAACTGCTTTTTAACCATAGCCGTTACATTTTCCTTAAGTCGTTTATCACCAACACCACTTAAATCAATATCATACTCTTCTGCAATCTTGAAGAGCTGATCTCTAGAGCAACGATCCAGAACCTCCTTGCATGGAGCATCAACAAAGTCCTGTACCCCTGCCATAATAGACCAGGTCAAAGGCCACCACAAAACCAGACAGTGTTTTCTAGGTCAACTAGTGCCGTAAAAGAGACAATGATATATCGCCCAAACTAATGTGGAAGTCCCTCTACCTAGACTGCCTATACCAAACTAATCTACCTCACTGAACCCTAGTCTTCATGCAGATTAGCGGTAGGCTTTTTAAACACTTAAACCAGTAACCCGGTTAAGCCCCCAGCAAGCTGGTTACTCACCTGACAGCTATGGATGTGTCCCCGAGACAACTGCTCTGACCGCACACCACACAAAAACAACAAACAAAAAAAACAAACCAACGCAGCCACACGGACCACGTTGCTTCACCTATCCAGGGACACTCCACAAAAGTCAAAAATTTAACACTAGAGGACCATGTACTCACTGCTGCCCAAAAAAATGCATCTCCCAAACACATTGTGTGCTGGACAAAACCATTATTACATTATATCAGCCTCAACCCAATCAATTTGGACGGACGAGCCCCCACTTGTCACAAACCGGGCCGAACGGCCATGACAAAAAAGGGAGACGCATTCAATGAAACGGTTGATTAAATATTTATTAAGTTTAAAGTAATGAAAAAGACTAACATAAACTAACAATGACATGTGAAGTCAGTCATTTCAGCAGTGTGTGTAAGTGAGTGGGTGCGTGTAAAGTGTATATGCAGTGTTGTATAGTGTAAGCCCAAGCCCAAGCCCAAGCCCAAGCCCAAGCCCAAGCCCAAGCCCAAGCCCAAGCCCAAGCCCAAGCCCAAGCCCAAGCCCAAGCCCAAGCCCAAGCCCAAATGGGTGTCTCAGGAAGGAGCCAGAGCCAACTGAAGATCCAGAGGGTTTTTATAAAGGGTGCACTGGCACTCAGGGCCAGTGTTGCTAATTGCCTCAGGTGTCCCCACTCTGCCTGACGATCCTCTGCCACACCTGCAAGGAAAGCAGCCACACAGGCAGACAGGGTCGTCACAAACCCATACTTTCAGACTGCACTGCCATCAGTAAAGTTTGGCTAGTAACACTCTTATTTTAAAGAGACATGATGTGTGCATGTGCTGGCAATGGTAGTGTTCAAATATATTAGAAAAACCAGCTTGCATCAAAATCAGATTTTAAAAAAGATGTTAAAACCACAAATATAACAAATACATTTTGGGGATTTATACCTATCTAGCTAGTAAGCCATGTTGGAGCGACGTCAATCCACACGTATCAGGGTTGGTTCGCTTCCAGCTGTGTCAGACAGTCAACACTTTAGCTTAAAAAAGTAAGATATTGTTCAAAAAGTAAATCATTGTGCCTGACATTGGTCCGTGATGGCTGTAATATTTTTTCTAATTTGCCTCCAATGTGATGCCTTTTCGGCAGTTGATAAGGAAAAAAATTGCAGTGACAGTTAACAGTGTAAAGCCTATTGTAATAAAAAACAAAGTAGGAAATCCTAAAACAGGAGGCCCACAGGAAAAGCTTCAAGACACTAAAGAAATGGTAGACCCTATGTCTACCAGGGGTGCAGCTGATAACTACAATGATGACGGGGCAAGTTAGCAGGGTTTTAGCAAGCTAATGTAGTTCACTAAGGTACCTACAACCATAATACTGCGTAGATTTCTGATTTATCCACATTCAGCTCTAACAGCTTAGCTTAATTTACAGATGTCAGTCTTAAACTGACATTTGGACAAATTGCTTGCTGCACGTCAGAACACTGAATGTCAGAATCCCACAGTTTTCCCATTCTTCCCACTAATGCCTCCTCAAGTCTTCCTCAAGGCTCTGTTTTTTGGCACCTTATAAAAACTTAGTTCTGGGTTCTTCACCCTGTTATAGTGCATCCCACCACATGGCAGCTTCTGGGCATTTTTCAGTTGTTTGCTAGCAGAAGAAAGTGACTAGGAGGCACCTTCACGCAATGCAAAGTCAATGTAAAGTGATGAATTGTGGACAGGACCTAAATGCTCCAGTGCTGCAGTGTCGTTGTCTGTTTCGGTGACAGTTTGTCCACAACTTTAACCTTGTAAAACTAATTTTTGCATCCAGGAGTTATACAATAGTGGCCTCCCTTTTGTTCTCTTCAGTCCTGTGGCTTCTCCGTTTCCGTATTTCACTGTTCCTACTTGTTGTACCAGTTGAACTCAGCCTGAATATAACGGAGCTTCTTATATTTCTGTTCATTTAGATAAAGCTTGAAATCGAATTATCTTGTAGTTATGGCCTTTTTTTGTCTTATTCCTGATTTCACTATGTGCTGCAGAGCCCTGTGTCTCCCTGTGTTTGTGTAAAACTATCTTACCCTCTTTGTCCACAGTCTGTTCGAGGCTCCTTTGTCCTGAAGTTGGGCCATCTCATTATGTTTGAGACTTTCTTTCTATTTGCGTCAGGAGATAACCTCCAAGTTCCTTTGAAATTCCCAAAATAGATTAGACCTGACACTCCCAGTACACATGTGCAGCAGCACGTCGTCTACCCATTCACAAAGCTTTGGGTATCACAGCACTGACAAAAACATGGCAGGTCTATAGCAACACAATGGTTGGTTAGTTTTATGCGGGTGGTGTAATGACAGTAGAGGGTAAATCTTTGTTTGTCTTTGGGAGTAAGACGATGAATCTTGTCAAACACTGAGGCAATATAAATTCTGCTTGTCACACACACACACACACACACACACACACACACACTTAAAGAGTTTCCAGCCTCCCATGCTTTTGTGTTGCCCACATGATTCTCTGAATTCCTCGCTGATGTCAGAGAGAGAGCTTCCCTCAGGGTTATTCTCGTCTGTTGAATCTGTGTTTGGCTAAAAGGCCAAGGTGTTTGCGTGAGCGGGTGGCAGAGGTATGGGACGCGTCCACAGATGGGAATGTAAACACAAAAGAATCAGGCAGAGACGCATGAATAAATAACACTGAGACACTTTATTGGTGATCAAATTCCATCCCTTTTCCAGAGCGAGATGAGGAGTGTTTCTCTGACCTATAACAACAGCAGTGCAATAAATAAAACCGAAACAGACATCGTAGCAATAGTCCAACATACAAACATACTCACACCGTGGTTAGCAATAAATAATCACACTAAATAAATTACATTCTAACAAGTTGTGTCTAATGAAGCAGTCTATTCACTCTACTGCTTTCTCAGGTCCTCAGACTCCTCTGGTCCGCTTCATCTTTGAGTCATGCAGCCGGCTGGGGACAGATGGAGAGAAATCAAAAGTCAATAAATATGTGAAAAGTAGCGACAACGAGCATATTATGAAAAAGCAAAACTATTTTGTAAGATATCAAAACTGCTCTTTAAAAGGAAGATAAGGTGGCAGATATATTGCCAATCCTTTTTATCTGCAGATTCAGTTTGCACACTTGTTGGTTGCTTCGTTAAAGATAGTCAGTACAGTTTTTCAAGCCGTAGATTTATTTTATGCCATTACAGCATCTTACAAATGATTGTGAGTCCCTGGTTTCACTTTGACCTTCTTTACTCGCCATGGTTTGATTATTAACATTCTGGGTGTGTTACTCCTCCGAATAAGATCAAACACTCTGGTGAAACTGTTTAACGTGTTTACCACCTGTCCAATTCTCTGACCACTCCTTCCTTGTCATTGTCCCGTCCGACTTTGTTGTAGCAATGTCGCCGTCGCTATCGTAACTAAATATTTTTCCACATTAATAAAAAAAGCAAAAGGAATTCATGCTCATGAAGTTGGTGAGGACGTATGTGAGGATGTAACTTACGGCATTTTTTTTGAGCCAACAAAGTTACAAGTTAAAAGTTCTTGCAGCTGTGAAGTGAATCTGCTATACAGGTTTCAGCTACCACTTCAATCTTCACTGTATGTGTGAGGCAGACTTGCTTTTCTCAGGGTGACACTGAGTGACGCGCAGGCCCGTGAGGAGAATGCTGCACGGCCACATTGTTTGTCTCGAAGCTAAAATTTCTGTGTGAACACGTGATGCCTTTGTGTGTGCATGAGGTCAGGCATTAGTTCCCTCGGCACCTATCACGTTTTTTTCCCATCCGAATTAGGACATAGGTTCCCTCAGCCTGATGTGCCCTGGTCATCATCCTTGGCACATGTTAAAATCTGTCTATAACATATTGAGATATGACACCAACAATATCCAATATAGAGAGACGGTCTGGCACTAACTGCCTTTGTTGGTTGGGTTGATTGGGTTTACGCATGAGGAGTGAGATTGGTTAGGGTGAGAATATCAGTGTAAGCCAATCAGAGGCAGAGTAGGGCAGGTCGTGCCTTTGCCATAGTAAGAGAAAAAGATCATGACTGGGAAGCTCTGATGATGTCATTCTGCATAATAATTAGCCATGTGCTGTGCATGTGTGTTTGTTGCAGGCTATCTTTTGAGCAATGGGTCTTTGGAACAACGGACGTTTGTTTTCAGGATAACAGGGTTGTCGGATGAAAAGGATTTCGGTCCAATGGGACATTTTTCCAACGATTGGGGATTTAGCATAATGGGCCGTTGGAACAACGTCATGGCACCGGAGGAGGTACTGTTCCCAGGGAACATATTGTTGAGGGAACATAGACACGCAAATAAGTGGAGTGATTAAGCTGTTACATCAGGGTCATCGCGTGTCGAGTCAGTGTGTCAGTACTGTTATTGTTTTGACGCACAGGTGAATGTGTACGATCCGAGCCAGTGGTTTTTCTTTACACTGGTATGCGCCGGTGCAGCGATGGGACAGGCCGTGACATCCCCCGAGCTAATCCCGGCTAATTCCTCCAGTGGGGATTCCTCTCTGCGTGATGCAACCCGGTGTGTTCAATAACAACAACAACAGGCGTACAGGATCTTCCGTCACTCTCTGAGCCCACTCTTTCCTGTTTGGCTTAAGGCTCACGTGAGCAGAGCGGCCCGACACCGCCCTCTGAGGACTTAAGCAAGACTTTTGGAAGAAATAAATCACCAACATATACACCGTTGCACGACCTTCTTACAGCATCACAGTACGTTTGCGGAAATGGCGTTAACACAGCATCAGCTTGATTGTTTTGGGTTTTCATTTGGAGTCCCAGCAATTGACTGCTTGCTGAGCCCCGTTGACCTTAGTTACTGTTGCTATGGCTGTTGATTATTCCATTCTAGATTTACCATAGTAATTGATTAATTCATTTATTATTATTAATTAATTAGATGTTGTAATTTTTAAAACAATTGCTCCTTGATTATAGTTGATAACTGGCTGTTTTCCGCTGAAATGTTGCCAGTAGATTTTAACAGCTACAGCTAACTAGCTACTTAGGCTAGCATTGGTTGAATCTTACTGAACTTAACCTCGTTAACGACATCGCTGACTGAATATGTTCGTCAACAAAGCTTTTCAATGACAAAGACAAGACCGACACCAACTACAATAAACACTATCAACATGCAACATTGTTGACGAAAAAGACTTGTTAGCAATAGGATTAAACAAAATGACGAAACGTTAGCTCATAGATTTTTTTTACAGCTCTTTTCTTTTTCAATGCTTCCGTTTCAGACCACACCGGCAGCACACACAGAGCACAGTCAGGAGAACTCGGAGTATCTTATTACAAATACAGGGCTTTGGAGAAAGAAACAAAGAGATATTTTGAATAGACTAGATTGACTGAAATGTTCAATATATGTATATGTTAAAAAACGTCACCAGTGTTCATTGACTAAAATGATATTAATTGTTACGGTTTTCTTCGATTAAGATAAGACTAAGATGCCCAGACTTTTAGAAAGACAGGATGAGGTTGAATAAATATGCTAAAAACTAACAAGGACATTTGACATGTGCTGGATTAGGACATGGACATGACTAGATTGGACCATCACTATTTAGTGAGATGTAAATTAAAGTTTTCAAGTTTAAGGGTATTGAGATGATTTATGAATGGCATGTTGTCAGAATTGAATTGATGCAGTATTAATTGTTGAGCTGTAAAGAAGTCAAAACTTCGGTGAAACCTACCTCGTAACTTGACGCCCTCACACCACAACGTCCCCGGTGGGTTTCTGTAGCTTCTCCTGCTCTGTCCCAGTTCCCAGGTAGGATGCCAGGAAGTTTTTATGTGACCTGTAACTACAAAAGATGTTCAACGTGAGCATAAAAGCCGATTGTAGTTCATGTGATTATCAGGCGATCACAATTAACTTATATTGAAGTTTGGAGTCAGTTACATGGCTCTGATCCTGTCTGAACAAATGAAGTTCAAGGTGTTTTTTTACAGCACATTACATTGTTATACGAGTTTGATACTCTGTTTTGGTCAGAAATTAAATTAGAGGTAGTTTCAATCTCCGAGAATGAAATTTTACTTTCTCTCAGCCTCCCCTCTGAAGTACTTCGGCTACTTGTGGCTGTAAAACAGTGGACTCTGACTTTGGCCCACATTCCGATGATAGATGTAATTTGATCTATTGATAAGGAACTGTGGTTATACATTAAATGACTAGTCACTCCATTGCAGTAAGCAAGAAATGGCAGTTGAATGAGTAACACATCCATCCACGTAACAATTTAGGGGTGGAAATGAAAAGTCTACAATAAAAAGTAAGAATGAGACGTGAAGGCTGTCGAAGTCTTTGAGTCCAGCTTAAGAAGGTGGTGAGCAATACCTGTCTAGTGTGGGCGTGTTTGGGCGTGTTAATGTGCTTTTTGATGTGTCAGTGCGTTCGAGTGCCAAGAAGTGTTCCTGGGCAGGATGTGTGGATTGTGTTATGTCGAGATTTGCGGGTTGTGGATGGTTGCCCTCATGCATTTAAGCTTCAATAATCCAAAAACAAAATTTAAAGAAATCAGAGAAGAAAAAGAGGGTTGCATCCTGTATATTGTCATCAGGTTCATATGTTGTGAGTTTTGAGTTTAAAGTTTGAACAATTTGAAATGTTATACACAGAGATGATGCTTTATACAAAAGTGCTGAGACAGTCAAAGCATGTATAATAATGTAGGCCAATGGTCTCACTTGTTTGGACACATTTACCATGTTTCTCTACATTTATGGACATTGAAGTATCATTTTGGGTAACTGGGTTAATCTAGAAAGGCTTAGCTGTCGATCTTAATGATCGTATCATTTTGGAATCTTTTTGATCTCTATGAAAAATATTTTATACATGTACAAAAATGGGAAATGAGCTGAGGAAAATGGGAAATGTTTCGTGGAGAAGCTGAAAAATAGATAAGCAATTAAATGGCTTTCCCCAAAAAAGGAAATAAGATGATCTAGTAAAAGATAAATAGAAGCGTCAAATTTAAATTTATTAAAGTGATGGTAGGTCAAGGAAAAGCAAAATGCTTTATAATTCATCTTACACTCATTTTTTAACTATTAATATTATTCATTGATGTACTTGTCTGTGTACAGTGTTTGGGGCTCCATATGATTTCCCTCTGTATCTCCCAGTTCCTATTTTGGCAAAATCCCCAAGTGTAGCCACAACAATGCTAATCACTGCCACCTTTGTTAGCTTAAGCAGGGTTCAGACTACCTGTGAGATGCACATAAAGTAGCTACCAGCCTTCATACACCTACCATCAAGGAGACCGTACCATTTTTACCGCTTGATCCCTCACTGGATTCCCACCCACCGACACTCATTTCCCTTCTGAAAGTTTTAACGTGAAAATGCGTGTCTGCGCGTCTGCACGTGGCCGTGAGACACCTGTGTACTCACTGAGCGCAAGTCATGAGCAGGATGGCGGTGCAGCTGATGACCGACAGGACCACAGCGATGATCACTAAGACCGTCTGCACCAACTCGGTGTTGTTTATCTGGTCCGACTGGGTCTGAATTGGCAGAGACTGGATCCCACAGCGCTCCCCGTCGTAGCCCTTCATACATCTGCAGAGCGGAGAGTTAACAGAGCCGACTGATCACCCACAGAGGAGACGTGACGTCAGATATTGAACTAAAAGACGTTTGAAGGAGGTTTAAACTTGTTCACACCGATAAGATGCACATGAGGAAATGGAACTGTATCTCTCATTATTAATTGGAAATTGAAATATGAATTTAGTCATGTAATTTCTATTCTTTCTATTCATACTCACATGCACACTGGCTCCTGCAGGCCCTCTATGTACTTGCAGTAACCGTGGATGCAGTAGCTCAGGTGGGTGGAGGTGCAGGGATCCTCTGTGGTGCTGAGAGTCGACGTGTATCCGTTGGTGTAGAACACGTGCTCGGGGCTGAGAGGCGTCGTGCTTTTGCTCCTGTGCCTGTTCTTCTTCTTGCCTTTGCCTTTCCTTTTCCTCTTCCCATCGTTACCGGGATGTGGTTCTGTGGCAGGAGATTCAGTTTCAACTTAAGAGGACTTTCTAGACTGAAGGTCCTGAATTTCTTTAAACCAAAAACCTTTTCATTATCATTACGTTATCATAGACAACATTTTTCAAACCAAAGATGAGTCAGGAGAAAGAAGTCAAGAAAATGATTATATGATTTAAAAAGCCATACCGGAAAACGGTATGTCATTGATAGAAAGCGAAAGCCAAATTATGCACGGTATTTCATACATCAATTGCATACATCATTGACTTTTGTACTGTATTTAAATACTACTGAAAGAGGGGAAACATTATCTTTTATTTTGCACTTTCCCTCCCCTTTCTGGTCGACCTTTCTTTGAAGAAAAACAAATGTCCGTAGTCAACGGCGAAAGAGAAAACATTTTTTTATCCTGTTGAATTGTGCCATAAATTACACATATGTTTGTAAATTTAAGTAGTTTTGAATTCAAGAAAGTCCAAAAAATTTTGTCAAACCGTTGAAGTGTAAGACTTACACTTCAGTAAGAAAAATATCGTAATTAGAAAAAAATACCCAAAGGTTGCAACGTCATGACTTTCTCTCTCGCTAAAGCTACGATGTCTGTGTGTTACGTACAAGGATGTACCCACTCGAGGAACCCGACTAACTTTCACAGAGCTGCCATTTTCAACATGGCCAGACTTGTCGTGATTTCCCCCTCTTTTATTACTTTTAGTAAAACGTGCCACGGCAACGGCCCTGTGGGTGTTGGTGACTTACATTGTGCGAGATGAGAGTTGTAGTTCACTGAGCGGTTTCACACAATACAAAATGGTTTTACGACTAACTGTGATTTTCTCCACTTGCAAAATGATCTTTTATAAAGAAAAACATTACAATTTGTAAATTCATGGCACAATTCAAACGGGATTTGTCTCTCGCAATAGACCGTACGTATTTTTGTCCGAAATAAGGTCCTGTGGGAGAATACTGGAAGCAGAGAGACACTGCCTCTCTATAAACAGAATATCATCATCATCATCTGTCAATTTTGTTTCTCTGTTTTGTTCAGGAAATATAGATTTACCAATCACAGATGTAGTTATTCAATTAATGGTAAAATATGAGCTTCAACCCATATCAACTAGCATTTGAAGTGAAATAAAAGAGTTTTGATGGTCGTACCAAGAGGGCTGGAATTGTCGTTGTCCCCTCCCGAAACCTCCTCATCTACCTCCAGCTCGTCATCGTCGACCAGCGAAGTCTGGAGGCCCTCCCCAGAGGCCGGACCCCCGGTCACTCGGGCTAGTTCAACGGAGAACGTGGCCTCAGATCCCTGAGCACCTCCAGCACCGGAGACTGCTGTAAAGCCAACATGACACAGAGATAAAGAGTGAGATCACGTCAAAGCTCCATCGAGATATGAAAGTGATGAGCAGCGAGAAGCAATCAGGGTCAAAGTCTACATCATATGATGCAGTTTAACGTGGGTTTATATGTCTACGCACGTTTTTGGGAGCATGAAAAGATGAATTCTGAATATCAGAACGAGATAAATTTAAAAAAAAAAATCTTTTCACCCTATAGTGACCGGGAACATGATGTTGCTTAGTTACTTACAGTTGGAATTGTCAGACGTTCACATCTGACTCATCCATTCATCTTAAAATATCGAGAGCTTGCAAATTAGACACTGTAATCGCACTGAAACCAGTACAACCAGTCACACATCCAGAGCTGCGCTGTACCTGAATGCATCGTTCACACCAGCCAACAACAATGATGAACAAGGCTCCACCGTAGGGCCAATGAAGTATTTGAAGTATGTCGACCTTTTCACAGAGACGCGCTTCTAACACAAATTAGAACAAACACCTGACAATCTCTCTCTTGTCCTCACATGCAGAGACATTTGTTCATTCATTCTTTCACCCCTCCTCCTCCTGTCCTCATACCATTTCACATTCATCGATTGATTCACGCTCTCTGCACACAGAATACAAGTACAAGTCCAGACTTACCGAAGCACAGGAGACAGGTGATGGCGAGAGGGTTCATATCCCAGGAAGAGTGTTGTGTGTACGGCGGTCCTGCGCTGATCTGTGCGTGCAAGTGTGTGTTGGAGTGTGTGTGTGTGTGTGTGTGTTTCTCCCCTGCTGATAGAGATTGTGCTTTGCTCTCTTTACCTCCTGGGTGCAGCTTTTATAACCAACGCCTGCCTGCCTCTCAACTCTAAGGAGAAAGAAGGGTGTGTGTGTGTGAGTGTGTGTGTGTGTCTAATGATTAATCTGCCCCGAGCAACACTTTTTGCGCCTCATGTTCTCACACATTATGAGGCTTCTATCGGGGAATAATAAGTCCAAACGAGATCGAGACACAAAACATTTTGATGTATTCTGACATGTGTCTCGTCGCCATTAAAACACACACACGCACACACACACATTAGTTCCTGCTTCTTTTACTGTTTATTGCTTCCGCTAGTCTCCCTCTATGGTCACAAATTAAGCAATTATAGAGTCACTCCATTAGTGACACACACACATACTGATAACACTGATAACACCAGGTTACCAGGTGAAAATCATGTGCCAACTTTTCACATACTGAAAAAAGGCAAATTTTAATGAGCTTTTAAGAAAAAATGATACTCACACACACACACACACACACACACACACAAACTAGGAGTCACAGCTGCACTACTCAAGGTACAAAGATGGTCAATAGAAAGAAATAGACAGGATAATGAAGGATCATAAAAGTGGTGTAGAGATGGTTATGAACACATAGCAAATCCAACTTTGTTGCTTTTCCACTTACTTAAGCTACATCTTGTTTTATTTGTGTTTTTAACAGTGCACTTCCACGCTGAAATATATATAATGTTTTATTTCGATTTTTAATTCTGTCACTATTATGTCAGTGCTCCATGTCTGCTCTTTGTTGTTCAACAGGGATTCCTTTGGTGTGTGTGTGGCTATGATTAAATAGCTATTTCAGTTCACCGTGAGGAGACCCAGAGGCTTGGGTGGGGATGCTGCACAGATGGGTGTGTTGGGTTATGTTGTTGTGTCTGCAGAGCCTGTCCCATCGTTCGTGCTCCGGTGGAATACCAACGGAAACCTGCAAGGAATGCCGGGAACTTCTCTATCTCATTCCTCGGCCTCAACAACGACCAGAAGCTCCTGGACACGTTATTTGTTTATAATTGCTGTGGAATTGAATTGTTTGGATTATGTGTAATGGCATTGGGGATGCGTGATATGAATGTGTGGAAAGTCTGACACAAGCCTGGAGAGAAGCACCTCATCACAGCTGCCCACTGTAAACACACTGCTGCACAGCTAAAGGCCATGAAGGAGGAAAACCTTTCTGACACGCAACTACAGCCCTATATATTTGTGAAGATATGCATGGCCACAAAACTTTTAAAAGCTCAGTAGCTGTCAGGATTACAACACCATCTTGCTCCTTGTATTTGATCTCAGGCCTTCCTTATAACATTTATATCGTATATAGTCTTTTAAGGTTAATTGCCTTGATTTGTATCACCTGATGATATAAATAGCTTTCAGGTGACAGCTGTATTCTATTCTGAAGAAGTTTCTGTTGTGTTCCCACTCTCTCTCTTTTTTCTTTTTTTTGGCTAAATGCTGATATCATCATACTAACATACTAATGTTTAGTTGGTTCCCTGTCTTTGTTAATTAGCAATTAAAGGTCTAGTGTGTCAGATTTTGAGTTTGCAGATTGCAACCAACTGAAACTTCTACTGTGCGCATGTAGGAGAACAACTGTGGCCGACGCAAAAAACGTGAATGGCCCTATCTAAAGCCAGTGTTTGGTTTGTCCGTTGTTGGCTATTGTAGAAACATACTTATAAATGTTATATAAAATGTCTGTCAGTAGAACCCCTAATTGCTACACATTGTCCCTTTAAACACAAAGTACAGTTTGGGCTGATGGGACTGTCAAAACCAAAATACTGGACAAAATTAAATTTTGACATGATGGTGTTTGAATAAATGTCCGGGCATCATTAGGATACCTCCTCTGGAAACCATCAATGTCTGCCAATTTATGTCGTAGATGTTGGGATATTTCACGGGATAAATCCTTTATTTTACTTGAAATAATTCATCCAGTTCAATTTGAAATCTGGCAATAAATATTGTTGAGAAATGATTCAATTGAATTTCTTTATTTCATTTGACAGTCAGTTGTTGACTACATACAGACGTTAACACAACTGTTCAAAATACAAATCATAGTGAAAGGTAGACATTACTGCGATGACCTTTGCATGAGAAGATTCTCTCTAAATGGACCTCGTTGAATTTTAATTGAATACCCTTGATATAAAGGATCACCAATGTCATTAGAATTCATCCTCTGGGGATCACGAATGTCAGTAAGTCATGGCAGTAGCTATTGAGATAATTCGGCCTGAACCAAAGTAGTGGACCAACAGACCTACATCACAGTTCCACCTCTAGAAGCATGCTGCTAACGTGGCTTACAATATAACAGTGGAAATATGACATGAACCAGCCTTGAGCTGCAAAAACAAATGGTTCATGTGGAACTTTTTTGTTTTCCTAAATGACACACAAGGATGCAGCTTAACGCGGCTTCCACAACCACGTTACTCACTGCATGAGCAACCTACTATTACTTATGCAATAATTAGGTAATACCAGGTACACAGAACGAGCACAGTGTGGAGATTAGCGCAGCATTTCCTGAATTTTGGATATGTTTATCCACGGGTTCTATATATAGAACAAAATGTAAGCCACTGAGTGGGTGTGTTTGTGGGTCTTTGTGTGTGTGAATGCATGCTTATGTGTTTTTAAGTATGTCTTAAGTTAAGTGAGTTAATGTTTATGTGTGACCGAGGCTGTTCGTTAGCATACAGAACATCTAAAGCTGCTCCAGTCAGATGTTAAAAATGGCTCATTGGCTCCGGTTGAAGCACTAATGAGGGTCCAGAGAGTAAAACGGTGTTATAGATTAACTCGACACCGGACACTGCATTCAGTAGGTCAGACAATGACTGCCTGTACAAACATAATTACTGCTTTGCATTATTTAAGTGTAGAGTGGCTTTGCTATCAAATATTTGTCGTGTTTAAACTGTAGTAAAAGAATTTCAACGTCCTTCAAAATTCTTTGCAGTAAATGCTTTTTACAAATTAGCTTAAAAAACAAAATCAAAGGGTAAGAGCGAACTTTCTTTTAACACTGAACAAGTTAAGAATTTGTTAATGCAGTTCTCAGTTAAGTTTTTTTTATTTAAGAACCTGCCATGGTTTTGCTTTGCAGTACATTTCCGTGCACCTCTCTCATGTCAAAGTAGAAGAGCAACAACACAAATTAATATACAACCTTTAAAAACTGATGTTTGTAATGTAATTGGATCTAAGGGTCAGTACTGTTGACTCAGCTGTCCAATTAGTACCCACTGTAGCGTCATCATTTTCACTGATTCTTCCATCCACCTTGACATCTTATCAAAAATGTGAGTCTTGACAATTTTGAGTGTTTGCAGGAATGTGTGTGTTTGCACAGAATATGGACTGACTTTGAAGGGAATGTCTCCTCAAAGTTTCCCTGATTTTCTGGTGACATCCAAATAAAACTTTCTAATAAAACTTTGTCACATTACAAACTGTAAGATTGACTTAGGTTGAGGAATGATAGATGCAACGCTTTCCCACTTCTGTTATCACGTGTCATCATCGAAAAATAACAAGTTAGTGAATCAAATGCACTGCTGATAAAAAGGTTTCCTCCCTGTGTTGTTAGTCAGTGGTAGTCCTACATGTTTGGACAACCCAGTGTTACTGCAGTTCATGAAATAGTCCCAAAATTGAATCTTCTGATTCGTGTACATGGACACAAATTTACCGAGCTGGTTTGTTTTTCACTGCACACATTTTAGAAGGAAAAGCACAGATAACTGGTAATGTTGATGATGACCCACACATCCATTCAGTACCGGGTTCCTGGAACTGTCAATCAAACACAGCTGGTACTCATTTAATTAATTACACCCGTGATGTTGTCTCTCGTGGTCGTTTTTAGGATACATGAAGCTCCACATTGAGTTTTACAGAATACACACTGTCCAACAGTAACCTACATTTGGAAACTTCATTACTTGGCAGATGATTCACTTTTCCTTACCTACAATTTGAAGGGGCCAAAACACAGATGTGTACATGGTAGAATTGAAATAAAGGAGAGTACAAGCTGAGAATAGCAACATATTAACTTTAATTTATAGTTCATTGTACAGCTAATAGTGCCATTGCAAAAATATCATTTGGTGTAAAAAAAAAACAATAACAAAAAGAGGAGAGACATTTTCTTTCAAGAGAACTATTGATCACATAGAAGAAAAATGCCAACACTGTAAGAAGAATGTGAAGACTCTCAGCTGTGCCCTTCAGACAACAATGGCTCGTGAAGTGAGATCAAAGTCAATGAACAGAAAGAAAATATTCAAGTTCATTTTTGTAGCAGTAACAGCTTCCATAACAAAACAAGATTCCAGTATATACTTTAATACGTTATAATAAATTATCAAAACCAGAATACTTTCTGATGAAACAAAGTTCCAAATAATAAAACACATAATTGTTACACTCAGTGGCCAGTTTAATGAAAACAATAGCTATTTTAGATTTTCATTATAGCTATAAAAGGCAAACAATAAATACAAGTTGAACCGGAGGTGTTAGATATAAATCAAAAACTAAAAAACAGTGTAGGACTGTTGTAAGAAGGGAGATGATGGTTAAGACTTTATTATAATTTAGTTTAATGTTTCGATATCTGAGGCAGATTTAAAAGATGCGTGGAGATCTGTGACCTAGCAGAACCTCAAGAAAGAGCTCTCTGAAATCTTGATGTCAATCTCATATTAACAGGCAACAAAGGGCCTAATGTGAAGATTCTACAGCACAATTGACCCTTCGCTAAGTCCCGCCCTCGAATGCAGACCGGCCAATCATAGCATCACCAGGCAGCTCCGACCAGAGTGTGACCACTATCCGGCCCTGCTCCATAGACCCATATTGTAGACCCTTCTGTCTGCATCTCTCTTAAATTAATATTTATTCAGGGAGTGCAGTTAGTGACAGTGTGGGCTCCATGGTAACTCTCACAGCTTGAGGTAGTAGCAGCGGGGGGCGGGGCTTAGCGACGGGTAAATAGCTTTGATAATGATCGTTATAATGTCCGTTAGCTAAGCTGTGGCTTGTTGCCTTAGAAGTTAAAGGAGGAGGTTTACCTCTTGTTCTACAGACCTAAATGTCTAAAAGCATGGATCACTATGATGGGTGTTCGACAGACCCCTCACATTTCTTTAGACTTTCACATCCTTCCATGAATTTTCCATGACCCCCTCATCATTGTCACCCACAGAAACTGCCTTTGTGCGTCTCGCCTTTCATCTTTTCCAACATGAGGGCAGCGGGTGCTGAAACACGAACCGGTGCGGCTGTAACAACAGCCCACAAAGCTGTTTCTTTTTGAGCTTATTTTAAATATATATCTGTGTCGACCTGCCTGCTCGATGAAGCGATGCCGTGTGACATCCACTAAACCGGCCACTGAGTGTAAGCTCGTCAGGTAACGTCATGGTACTTTATGTTGACATTTTTTCTTTTAGGAAACTGGGGACATCGTGGTTTGCATTCTCCAGCGGCGGATGCAGTGAGTGTGTGTGGCACTCTAAGCTGTCTGGACTCCTTTGTAACCTTGTCGCTTCTGCTGACGTGGGAATTTGTTTTTCTTATACCTGTAAAAAAACAAACAGAACATATTTGGTTTAAAAAAGGTGCTAACCAAGTTAATACCTCTGTATTCTTGGGAAAACGTGATTAAATATGTGAATGTCTGTCTCATGTACAGGATTATATATAGCTTGAGCTCTCCTCCGCTCAGTTTGTCATCAAGAACAACTGTATATCAGCTCACAAGAGGGGATGTATTATCCCACTCAGGAAAAGTGCTTTCAGTCAGTCTGCACTTTCTGTAAAAGCTGCACTAGAATGGAACTCCATCCCAGCAACCATTAGAGAACTAGACACATACAGTTCATTTAAATATATTTCACATACTCTGCATGCTTTTATTATATTCATATTCTCTCTTCTTTTATTGTTTCTGCGCGCTTCGTAAAGGGTAAATAATGCTTAACTTTGTAATTTTAATGTTATATTCTGTTTTTAGGTTGACTTTGTGGACTACAGATTATAAAATAGCGTCTCTGCTTACTGTAGCACATTTACAGGAATGTTTTATGAATGTGCACTGTCCCTCCCAAGTTGAAATGTTCAAAGACATGTCTTTGAGGCCGTAATCACCGTCTGTGGTTTGACTTGTCTCTACATGAAACCGGATGTTGGGGCAGACTTTACGTCATGAGGGGCTTGATTTGAAACACAAGCTACACCTGTTTAACATGATGACAAGCGGAGTCTGAGTCACCCTCAAAATATAATGCTTTTGTTTGTAACAAACCTGTAACAAAATGCATCAGCAAAAAGAGAAGGGTTTCAGTTTATGGAGCCATACAAATCAATTTTTCCCAGTCTGGTTAGATTTACATGAAAAAAAATTCACCGTATTATATTATATTTATAAAACTTATATTACAACAGGTTGAATTGACCTTTTGGACTCAATACTAGACATAAATTAGCCTACTTGGAAATATTTTTTTTGCAACAAAGCTAGTGTACCTGGCCAGCTACATTCCTAATAATAATAATAATAATAATAATAATAATAATAATAATAATAATAATAATAATAATAATAATAATAATAATAACAACAACAACTTTATTTATATAGCACCTTTAAAAACAGAGTTCACAAAGTGCTTTGACAGTCAAAGCAGCAAAAACAACAATAATAACAACAGAAAGCTCAGTGAGACCGTTGGATACGTTAAAAATAAACTAAGAAATTAACGAAATAAAATAATAAAAGATAAAAATAATTTAAAAAATATATATATATATTATATACGGGTATTGACAACGACAAGTCACATCATTATCAACGTTAACAATGAACTGGTCTTATAGCTCTCACAAATAGTAAATTCACATCAAAGATTAATACCATTGCAAACATGAATTCATTCACAAACTAAAGCCGTACCATTTGCAGCAGAAGTACAGAGCTCCGGACACACCTATAATCAGCAGAGCCATGCAGAAAATGGTGCCAATGATCTGCTCTTCTCCCATTGGCTGAACTACGAGCTCCAGTTTGCTACACCTGGGGCCGTAGAAGCCCTTCTCACACCTGCAACATGGAGAGACAGAGAGTCATGCATGATCCCACCTGGTGATTAAAACTAGCGCACACGCACGCACACGCACACGCACACACACACACACACACACACACACACACACACACACACACACACACACACGCACACACAGGATCTTACTTGCAGTGGTGTTCGTTGAGGTCCACCAGCAGCATGCACTGGCCGGAGTTCATGCAGTAGCTGTCAAACGTGCTCTCGCAGTTCTGTGTCGACCTCTTCACCACATGAGGGCGCTCTCCTCCCTGGCCTGAAACAGCAACAGCAGGACAGCTGATGGGAAAGCTTTTCACAGGAAACTCTGCAGCTGAGGCTTCCAGAATCACAAACATCTTTTGAATCTCTAAATCACTGAAGACAGAAAAATAAATTGTCCGCTGCTATTTTGATGATAGAGCAAGCGTTTAAGTCAAACATTCGATGGTTGCGGGTTCTCAAATGTAAGAGTTTGTCTTGCCGTACATTATATTTAATTCAATGTTTTTGGACTTTTGGTCGGAAAAAGCAAGACATTTGATGACATTGGTGTGTACCCCAGGATATTGTGCATTTTCTCACTGTTTTCTGATGTTTTACAGACCAAAGCATTTGTAGTAATCGCGAAAATAGTTAACAGATTAATTGATGATGAAAGTAACTGTTATTTACAGCCCTAATTTGTTTATTTTACTCTTACGTCTTTTTAAATTTGTGGATTTTACTAAGTGTCATTTTTTGTACTTCTATTTACTGCTTTATCTTTTTCTCCAGGGTAAAGCACTCTGTAACTTTGTTTTGAAAGGTGGTGTATAAATAAAGTAAAAAAAAAAGCAGGTGTCACATTGGATTTAGAATGAGTATATATATCTTTTATTGTTTTGTGTCTTTTATTCAGAACACTGGATGTGAAATAAATAAACAATTCTGAGCTGAAATCATTTTCAGCACCTTCAAATTAAGGAAGTCTTCACTAGAGCTGCAACTAACAATTATTCTCATTGACAAATAATCTACAAATATTCTTTGTCCATAAAATATAAATCGTGAAAAACGGCCAGTTTAGGTGACGTCTTCATGTGTCTTGTTTCAGTCCAACACCCAAAGATATTCAACTTGAAATGATACAAAACAGAGAAAAGCAGCAAATCCTCACATTGGAGAATGTGTTTGATATTTTACCTTGAAAATAGTCTCAAACAATCAACTTGTTATCCAAATAGTTGCCTAGTTTTCTGTTGATCAGCAAATCGTTTCAACTCTCATAACTCACAACTATTTTTCAAGTTTAAGGTTTTCATACATTTTCAGGTTTAATGTTATTTTTAGTATACGTTTTTTTCAAATCCAAAGTGCAGATTGCAATCTTCCGTACCAAGAGAATAATATCCTGTATGAGATTACTTCCAGTTCTCCAAATGCAATACAATACTTGGAATTATGTGTTTGCACTTATATATTTTAAAGACAAATCCCTGCCCATTTAATATACTTGACAAATAAAGGGATGTGTTGCGGTTGTCTGGTTGAATACCTGCTGATAGAGAGGTGCTGTCTGCAGTCTGTAGTCTGGATGAGACGCTCCTGGTGAGAACATACGGCCAGAGCAGCATGACACCTGTTGAACAGAATATTGGTCTCATTAGTCACACTGCTTTCAAGGTCATTAGGTCAGTTCTATTGAACTTAACTAGCCCTTTGTAGGATATTTTGGTTACCATACCACGTGACATGTGACTTTACCACAGACTGTATATCAGAAGTACACGTAGTCCCTGTGACGTCACATACTGGTTTGTGGATTACCGTTTTGAAGTCCAAGCTCAGCATTTTGGCCGTCACCATCTTGGTTTTTGGCCATTGTGATCTTGTTTTTTTTTGCAACCAGAGTGACACAAGAGGGTGGAGCTAAGTACAACCGAACGCTGATGAGACATTTTTAGGTGACCAAAATATTACAATTAACTTTCATGAACTGAAAACACCGGACAACGCTGTGGTAGCGACCTGTCAATCACAGTAAGCCCACCCATAAATCACTAAAGCATACTCTGCTTTATGGTCTATCTGACTCTAAATGGACCATAATTTACTAAATGAACATCACGCTGTATTGAAGAAGACTTGAAACTAGAGATTGAGACCATAAACTCATGTTTACAATGTTTACTGAGGTAATAAATCAAGAGAGAAGTAGTCATTTTCTCATAGACTTCTATACAATCAGACTTCTTTTGCAACCAGAGGAGTCGCCCCCTGCTGGTCAGTAGAAAGAATGCAAGTTTAAGGCACTTACACATTGGCTTCCCTTTTCAGACCCAGTCATAGCCTGATTTTTATTCAGGATGAGGATAACCTTAAATTCATATCTAAGTCTTATCATAAGTGTTTTACCACATAGACACTGTGACCTAATTTCAATTATCATTACAAATGACTGTTGTTGTTCATAAAACCTTGATTTGTCACGCAAACAGAGAACTCTACAGTTGCAAATGTCATTTTCACATAAGATTATTTCGTTTTAAAGATTTACTGCAATGGAAAATTTGAATTACTTTGAATTTGCATTTGTTAAATGGATATTTTATGTGAGCAAAGGGATTGTAACAGTATGTTGATCATTTAGTCCACAACACCCCAAAATAATTTATGTTTGTTGTGTTTAGATAAGACACCACAACACTAGCATTTAGAAAATATTCAGAAATCATAAACATGAAGAAAATAACTTTCTATAATAATGATAAGATTCTCTGCCAAACCTTGGCAACAATAGGACGTGAAGCTGTGCGGCTCGTGGGGCCTGTATCAGCCTGCACAACTTTATACTGCACTTCATTCGCAGACGCCCACATTCCTGCAGTTGGAGGGTGAAAAAAGCAAACAAACCCATGAACCTGAATGCAAGATGTGTCTGGTTACGACTGGTTATGAAGCTGGTTATACTCGCTATAAAAGCCTGGCCATCAGTCTGTTGTTATGGCTGCAGAGATATTTTCCTCTGTTTTCCGCGAGACGACTCAGCCCAGTTGTTGGGTGTCTCTGACATGGCTCATTGGTGTAAAGTACAGAGTGCACGTGAGCTGGAAATATCAACAAAGCCACTTCTGTATTATTAATTATATCCCTGTCCAATCAGCCCATTTATATCATTAGTCACTGTCTCACTGCGATCTGTCAACGTGATCCCGATACTCATCCCACCTTACTCACTGATATTTAGATGGGAATTGCACCTGTATTTTTCCGACGGTTCGCACAATGACGAGGAAATGTGACTCTCGTCTGACACCGAGCGGGTTAATACAATAAATCTAGGGTAAAGGTGAGAAGTGCCACAACAAGCTGGCTGTGTATGACCCACATTATCAACAGCAGCAAAAGGAGGGAAGGTTATCAGCGCAGGCCAACTGTTATCATGATGGATAACTGGTTAATAACAAGAACTAATGTGTGCCTGCACAGTGGAAGTAAACAAAGAGAGGAATAGAAGCATGAACTACAAAACTCTGAGGTGTTTTCAAAATGAACTTCCGTCTTCACAGGAAACCACTCGGTTAGGTTTAGGCAATAAAGTACTTGGTTAGGTTTAGGAAAATATCATTAAATACTTAGTAAGGGTTGAGGAAAAGTTTGTGAAATACTAAGTTAGGTTTAGGAGAAGGTTGTGAAATACTTAGCTATGTTTAGGCAACAAAAATACTTAGTTGGGTTTAGGCGAAGATCATGAAAATATGGTAAAATACTAAATTAGGTTAAGGAAAAGATCGTACAACACTAAGTTAGGTTTAGATAACAAAACTACTTAGTTAGGTTTATGAAAAAATCTAAAATATTGAGTTAGGTTTCGGAAAAACATGGTAAAATATTTAGTTAGGTCAAGGAAAAAATCGTAAAATACTAAGTTAGGTTTAGGAAAAGGTTGTGAAATACTTAGCTATGTTTAGGCAACAAAAATACTTAGTAAGGGTTGAGGAAAGGTTTGTGAAATACTAAGTTAGGTTTGGACGAAGACCATTAAATACTTAAGTAAAGGCAACAAAACGACTTAGTTAGGTTTAGGAAAAGGTCTTATAATACTTAGTTAGGTGAAGGAAAAGATCGTACAATACTAAGTTAGGCTTAGATAACAAAACGACTTAGTTAGGTTTAGGAAAAAATCTAAAATACTTAGTTAGGTTTTGGAAAAGATCATGAAATAATTAGTGAAGTTGAGGAAAAGATTGTGGTTTGGGTTAAAATAACCACGGTAGTGCCGTAACTACATTACGCAAGTTATGTGACAATTAAATCAACGTTGACTTCTCGTTTCACATGGGGGACGAACAGCTGTTTCCTGGCTGGTTGGCTGACCTATCCGCCTCCCCTCCCACCTGCCCCGCTTGGAGTCTTTATACTTCCTGGCTCATAATTACAAAATAATAATAATTTTGTGGGATATCTACGAATTACGGCGCACTCTTTTTCGTAGGTATAGCTACGAATGCTGGATGAGACCAGCCTGCTCCACTACACTTCAGAGGGAAACCACCACTTTGTTTATTTTACCGCTACATTTACCGGTTATTTTGCAGATTGTAACATGTTTGGCTTGTGAGCCCTTATGAATAAGTAGTGTCTAGATTATCTCCCCTCTACAACGTCTGTGGTTCCTCTTATATATTTGCTTGATGCCCAATGACGTAGAATTTTTGAATATTTCACAAAATAAAACAACTAAGATTAGAGAAACCAAAACATGAATACAAATGTATGCAGCAGAGATTTGTTTTTCTTCTGTCCTCTCCTATTAATTATCTCATGACCCCCTCAGATTTATCTTGCGACCCTTTGGAAGGGCCGGACCCTTAGGTTGGGAACCACCTAAGGGAATAAACCACCAAACTGTAAAGGATCTAAAACTAGCTCAACCTCCACCAGCATCATTATTAAGAATCTAATAATGTCATAATAACCGAATGAGTACTTTTACTTCGGTACTTAAGTTGGATTTAAAATGCAAGGCTTTAACTAGTAATGGTGTCTACTGGGCGCTCGTCAGTTTATACAAGCTACAATGTTACATGACTCTTTACATATAAGAAGGAACGTGAGCAACAAGCTAATGACTTGATTTAATGATTTAATCAGACCGCATGCATGTGCTTCCTAACAATAAATCTTCGCAGTTTAATTGTCAGCATCTCCCAGCATCCCTCGGGCTCTGAGCTCAGCGCGTGCATCAGCTCATCCACACAGGAATGTCCTTCACCCCGACTCCAAAAACTTCCACTCGTTTCTGAAGTCACTCATGTGAAGTTAAGAAACAGGCCTCATGTTTGGCGATAACTGATCGCTCAATTAGTTTAAGTGATAGAAGAGGAAATTTGATCTTGATCTATGTAAAATACTCACAAAGCAAAATGCACCTTATAGATTCAACAGTGAAACTTAAATTTGAGTTAAATTGATGGGTTTTAATTTGCCCATGGGTCCGTAAATACTGCTGAATTCAAACCGATGCAGTTACATTGCCTCCAATATAAAATTATGTTCATGTTTTAAGTCCTCATAAAGGATTTAATGTATAGGGTTAAGAAATGATGACACTTTGGAGATAATATTATTTGACATTAGCTGCATTTTAATGTGGCAGGAGAGGAATTATTGATTATTATAGTAAAAGTCCTGCATCCATAATTTCAGATAAATTGCAGAAGCGCTTCCTACTTAAAGTATCGAAAAAGTAGTCATTGGATGGACCCTGATTATTATTTATTAGCGTAATTATTTATTACCATTTAATATACCTGCTTGAGGTCACTTTAAACATTTTAATACACATTTGGGTGTTTTAATATGTCACACTGCTTCACGTCTTATCAGCCAATCATATGTTTGGTAGGTCTTGTAACAGCTCAATAAAATATAGTGTGAAAAGAACAATAATTCCCTCTGATATGAGTATAAAATAACATGATGAAAATACTCCAGATAATAATAATAATGCTGCATTATGAATAAACTACTCTTTTTCTGATACTGAATAGAACATTATAAATGCAAGGCTTTTACATGTAACAGAGTATTTGTTTAGACTGTGGTTATACTTAAAGGATCTGAATACTTCTTCCAACACTCTAGAAGATGCAAAAAAAGGTGTGTGTGTGTGTGTGTAGAAGTCACAGTAAAACACAGTGGAGTAAAAGTATTTAAGTACTCAGCTCCGTTACATATGAAAAACACTCCGATATACGTAAAAGTACCGCATTCAAAATCTCACTCAGGTAAAAGTAAAAGTGCAGAAGTACCACCAGCTAAATGCGTCACTGAACGCATCAAAAGTAACGTTATTGTATCATTAAAACCGGTTCATTAGTGTTGTTTTACTGTCGTGAATCATTTGAAGTACTTCCTTGACTGCTGGGTGTAGTGACATGAAGTGGAGTTTAAAGTATAAAGTAGTATTAAACACTCAAGTAACTGTGGCTTTAAAACTGCACACGTTCTGACAGCGACCTGCTTTTTCATCAGTGGCGTTTAATGGCCTTTTTCTCATGCGCTCCCCTTCGCTACATTTTAGCACCGTGTGGTTTAACAGCCCGAACCCACGCAGAGAAACCAGAGACAACACACTTCTTCATCCCGTTGAACGGTAGAAACCAACAGAACTTACCGATAAGCGAGAGGAGCGCTGAGGGTTTGCTGTTCCCCATGCTCACGGCCGACAGACGGACAGGTCGATGACAGGAGGTGAGGCTCGGTGGTCGCGTGCAGGCAAGAGTCCTCTGGATTACTGGCACCTTCGATTTCTCAACAAAAAATAAATAATTTAACGATTAGATAAAAAGGCGGCAGGTCGACTCCTCTCTGGAACACAGACAAACTGGAAACCAATGGGATCCATCCTGCCGTCTGGGTGTGGTGAAAGACGCCTGTAATTTAGACAATTTCACACTTCAAACTTCAAAGTACAAAAGACCCTGAAGGCACCATTTCAATCAATACAAAGAACGAGGAGGAGCTGCTTCCTGTCATCCTTTGTATCATTGATGGGCTCCTTTAAATTCAGATGTACGTTTACTCATATTGTGTACCACGACAGATACATATTGGTGCCAGAAGTATTCACGCCGTTTACTCAAGAAAAAGTAGTTATTCTACAATGTAAAAATACTCCTTTACAAGTAAAGATCCTTCATTCAATATCCAACTTAAAGGTGCAACATACAGGATTCAGAGCATTGATATAGCAGCTTTTTAGTGCATGTAAGTGCATTTGAGCGTGGCCAACGCTCTGTACTGCTCTCTATGGCGGTTTACAGCCGATAACACCGTCCTGACCGATGGTGTCGTTTGCGGAAGCGCAGCACCCACCCTCCAGTCCCCCCCTCAGGTGAACGCAGTTAGCTCTGTCAGCACTTTTGCCATAGTTTGCACTGTTATCACTATTAGCACCGTTAGCTGTGAGCCGCCGGCTCAGCCGTCGCCAAATTGAGAGGCAATAGAACTGCTCCCAGTCTCGGATTTAGTACCAGTTAATGTTAAAATTATCAGCAAAAATAAACGCAGTGGTTATCATGGAGCAAAATGGCAAAACGTTGTGTTATTATGTATTAGCCTAAAGGGTTAATATGTATTATACTGAAGCAAAAACATGTAAGGAGCATTTTACTGTTGTAGCCGGTCAAGGTGGAGATGCTTTATATGCTGCTGGTTAACAGTAACCTGTTGCAATGCATTAGATTTAACAAACTGTTTTGTTTGAAAGATCTTAATCTATTAGCATCAGTAATGAGTAAAAACAGCTGAGAAACAAGTGTAGAGCAGTAAAAAAACAGCACAATATTTCCGTCTGAAATATAGTGGAGTATAACATCAAATAAATCTCAGTACAAGTACATTAAAACTTAACCTGAGTGCAGTATTGAGTATATGCAGATACTTTCTACCTCTTCAGACAGATATAGTTTATGCCCTTTGCCTATGATTTGGAAAAATCCAACCTAGTCATAGCCTACCTGCACCTATTATAGCATAAGGTAAGCATATTCATATCTTCAAAATACCCAAAGACATAAGCGTCTTTGGGTATTTTGAAAAGCGCTATATAAAATGTATGTATTATTATTATTGTTATTATATTCAAGTACATATATTACCTCTCTTTCGTTCAAAAATATTTCACTATTAGGTATCTTATAAACACACTGGACTTCTCAAATCAAAATAATTGAAATGACCCTGAGTTTCTGGCTTACTGTTCTAACTGGTATTTCTGGTACTGGGTATACTGGTGATACATAAGTTATTTCTAATAGAAACCCTTTTTGCCATTTGTATCCTGGCGTGGTTACCTATTTGTTCACTGATTTTAACTGTTGGATGTTAACACCTGTGTTTGTGTTTTATGTACCTTTTTTATATTTGTTTAAACTGATTTTATTCTATTTTCAGTATCTTCATTATTCAATTCAACATGTTGTATTAGAAGATTCAAATACATAATTTTCTCTCCTCTGAACATCCGCTTTACGTCATTTTGTACATGTGTACTGTTTGGTATTTGGCATGCAGGCTCTTTTACATGTCGATTTTGTGATACAGTATTATTAAAGTTTTTGTCTCTGGATCCATGGGCATTATCCCCTCAGGGGAGTAATACATTCATATCTAACAGGCACACACCAACTTTTAAATAACAGTTGGCTTCCTACTGTATTTGACCCTTATGTGTCACAGGGACATTACTGTTACATTTTTTTCTATTTATTCATAGATGTTCTAATCCAAAATGGTGCCATAACAAAGAACATGCTTGTGGAGTCTCCCATTTAGACAAAATATCCAAGTAAGAAGTGTGTGTGTGTTTACTCAACTTTTACCCACAAAAATTTCAACGACACGTACATTTTTCATAAATTTATTACAAAATCTAAAATAAATTGAACACTTTCAATAAGTTAATTGCTATAATACAATAAATAATCAGATTAGTTCTCCCTCATTCTTTAAAGGACAATGAATCATATCTGTTGAACATAAATAGACACGGTTTGCTCTTTCCTCCTCCTTAAAAAGTCCAAAGATGGTCTCTTAATTGCTTTGCAAATCATTGCCAATGCTGTCATTTATACAGTGTGATGGTTCATGTTTCATAATGATGATGAAGATGATGACGAAGATGATGGCAAACATGGGGTCACACCGACAACTCAGACGGTGCAGCTTTTTTTGAGCGGTGCTGATTTTATACACCTGCAGAAGAAAAAAAACAACCATATGAATTAGAATGTATTCTTATATGCTTATTAACAATTCAATATGGAAATACTATATTTCTCCCATTGCTACGTGCCCCTATTCCTTTATACAGCTTTGTATGGCGAAAGCCTGCAGACACTCACCTCTTATTAGCAAGGCAGTAAATGATGAAGGCCAGGACAATGACCAGCATGGCGACACCAAAACTGATGCCAAGCAGTTGCTCCAACTCAGGTGAAGAGTACGAGAGGTGGGTCATTAACATGCAGCGACGCCCGCTGTAGGAGGACTTGCAGCTGCGGATTATACGCATAAATATGTGAGCGCATTCCAGAGCCGAACACGAACCAACATGTGCATGTGGATGAAAAACTAAAAACACATTCAGGATGCACAGTGAGCCTATAGGCCAGGCTTCAACATGTCTGAGATAACGCTTACATGCAAGAGGGTTCGTCGCTGTCTTGGGGGTACATGCACTCTCCATCGTTTTCACAGAACGTTTCATGTTCACTTCTGCACGATCTGCTCGAGAGCAGAACCTTAGGTTTCTCCATACTGCCTGTAGAGAGAGAGAGAGAGAGAGAGAGAGAGAGAGAGTAGCTTCATCATCAATTATCAACCTTTTAACTTAAATGTATGGGGGTCTATTTGTGCCATTTAACTGACTAGAAATTAATCAACTAACAAAAAAGCAAAAATGATGGATACATGACAAAACAATAGTTTTTCAAATAAAAACTGAATGACTTTATTGGTTTGTTTAAAATACAAATTAAAATATTTTTTGAATAAGTGAGTGACAACATTTTTCATTTATTTATTTTTCCTCTTGTGGCAGGAGGTGGGACCCATACTGCTGTCAAATTATTTATTATTTACCATTTACCAAACCGCTGATCCTTTACAGAGTCACGGGGGGGGCTTACCGTTGATGAGCTGTGTGGTCACTGATGAGTTCCACAGAGCAGGAGTTGCTGTAGTCGGGAGGTTGTTAGTCAGCATTGCAGATTGCACTGTTGTGGTCAGGAGAAGCAGTGCTGCCATTGCTGAGTGGAGGGCTGGAACACATGGAGGGAAATAAGATTCTTTATCTCACAAATGCTGTGATACTTTTACTACTCAAAAAAAAATTGCCTGCAATTTGGTATAACGGTATTCCCCTTTTTACTTTTATAGAAAGGGCTACATCACCAAAACATCAAATTGTAATAGTTTTTCAATAAGCAGGGACCTTTCAGTTAATTTAAACAAACTGCAAACTCCCCTAATTTAAATAATTTCAAATGTAATAAACTAGAACCTTACCGTGCTCCGCGTACGTCTGTCTTTGTGTAAACATATTGTCTTCTGCCGGTGTGATGTCTGATGTTCTCAGCCCAACTCCCTCTGTGTGATCATCAAGAAGCATCTGCTGGATTTATATACAGAGCTCCCAACCACTAAAAATGCCGATCAATGAAGCAAAGATTTTTTTTCTTCTTTTTTTTTTTTTTTTTTAAACGAGAAGTATTTCCTTCCTTTTCTCTGCATGCAGAGGCGAAGTATAAACCGGTTTGATGATGGTGGTCGGGGTACGTGATTGCCCCACAGCTCTTTACTTGTGGCCTCTTCTTTGGAAGGTATTTGAACCTACGCAATCCCTTTGGCAGACTGGTAGTTTCACTAAAATGCCCTTTTGGGAGTTTTAAAAGGTTGCTACATTGACGATTACAGGTGTTGTGAAAGCCTCAATTTCTTCAAAGGAGCTTATTACAGAAGCTATTTTGTTTGTTTTGGCAGCCTCTAACTTTTTGTATGACAGGTGAAGAGAGGATGTGTTGACAAAAAAAAAGAGAGAGGACAGAAGCTGTAAAGATTAAGTGAAGCATTCTTTAGTAGATGGAAGTTAAACTTTGGAATATACAGTGTAAAGAAGAGGAATTAGCCTCCATTTGGTAGTTGGCCATGTCTTATTTTATTAAAATCTCAGTACCACTTTATATAAAGGGTTTATGGGTGCTAATTAGTAGCATTATTAATGGTTAATCAGTAATTTTTACATATAGATCTGTCACACACCATTAATAATAATAACTTTTGGGTTTGACGCTTGCTTTGTTTTTTAGCTACATTTATAATAATCTTCTCTCTACGTTTACTATCTTGAATAGTTGCGCGCAGATCAACAACTCAAACTCTCAAAGTCATTGAATGAATTCCCCATAGAAATAGAATACGAGTAGAACCCTGACATTCCCATTCAAACCAACGTGGCAGGATTGTCCGAGCGGCGGCCATTTTTGTGTGTACCATTGCCATTGCAACCGTTGTAGCTGGCTCACTTCCATATCAACAAAACCGACTCGCGGTAAGTCGCTGGCTAGTTAGCTAGCTTGCTATTTATGCCATGCTTTAATGCTAAAACTGGTTACAGAAAATGAGCTGTGCTGGTGGGTCTAACGGTCCCTCCGCCTCTCTCCCCACGGCTGTGGAGAAGGACAAGCTACCGAGCTAACTAGCCGGCCATCCCGTCCGCTCTCTTCCCAGCGAGCTGTATACTGTTGTGCGTTGTCACCATAACAACTAACGGTTATCTTCTTTTGTACCATTCAAATGACTACGAAAAACAGTCCAATGTCCATTCTACTCCTGTTGTATTAGTATTGAATTCCCAATTTTCACTTTTCAAGCGATACATGTGATGAATTACAGCAAATCTGTGGAAGATGAAATAAGTTAAGTCAGTTAAATATGACTCAAATTGTTATTTCCCAGGGAGTTTACAATAGATCACAACATCAGATCTACTAAACCCAAAAGTTGTTTCTGAATTCTCGTAACTAATATATAAAGCATTAAAATGTTTATTAATCGTTTGTAAAATCATTGATTACAGTTTATAAACCCTTTTGGCAACGATGCCTTCTAGAAAGTGGTAACATAATCTCCTTCAAGAATAACAATGTGACTCATTTTCACTTTTTCATTCTGTGATTTTCACATCGAGGCTTTTTACAGGGAATAACTGTGTGATGCATAACATTCTTCATGCAGAGAAATCACTTAATAGGATAATCTCTCCTTCTCTACAGTAAATCAGGGAAAAAAGACAGAGATGGTAGTACTGGCACAGCATTGTTTTTCATTTAATATTCCTTTTCCAGAGAATCTGAAATGTTCAACAATGAACCAAAACAACTTCAGTAGAAAAAATATGAATCTAAATTCTTAAAAAGTGAACTCTGAAATTAATCAATTAAATAAATAATAACATTCAAAGTATAAACAAAGTACATATCAAGTAAGTTTCCCAGCAGGTATGAAGTTTTGAGCTCGTGAATTTTGAAATGAAAGTATGTTTGCTAAAATGTGTGTAAAACTAAATGAACTGATATAAGTATGTGTGTACATATGCATACACTGTTTGTACTCAGCATCAGTCGATAAAAGGAATGTGTGTGTGTGTGTGTGTGTGTGTGTGTGTGTGTTTAATGCATCAGTGCGTTTCTGGCCGCGGTCACAGTGTTCTTCATCAGCATGGCGACGGTCATCGGACCCACGCCTCCGGGAACAGGTGTGATGAAACCTGCCTTCTGCTTCACTCCTGCAACAAGTCAAACAAATTTAATTCATTATTTTCTTTCTATATTCCAAGAACCAGAGCTTAGAATGACATTTTACTTTGGAACAACATTACATGCAGTAATCTCAGCCATTGAGATATTGTCACTGGCAGCAAAAATTTCATCAAATGATCAGTGAAAAGTTTGTCATATTACACCACGGTTGTAGTATGAAGCAGGGTTGCAGGGTTGTCAAAGTTGAATATGGTTTTAAATTGTTAACAATTTGGTTTTGCTTTGACCTGAAGAACAAAAATCTGCTTTAAAATAGTTTTTATGCCTCCGTCCATCCGTCTGTACCGTTCTCGTGAGTTTGAAGGACCTTGAGGAAATTTAGGATGAAATTATAAAAACTTGGTGGTCAAAGGTCACTGTGACCTCATAAAACACAGTTTATGTGTCTAAGAGGATAGAATGATGAACAGACGAGGATATAAACTGGATATTGAATGATTGGCGGAGGCGTACAACGGCGAGGCGGTAATTCCAGTTCACTGCTGCGTTACAAATGATATATTCACCATTTACACCATTTATTCCTCTTCTGATGAACGTTTTGGATTATTTACCCTCAAAGTCCACGTCCCCGATGAGCCGCATTTTCCCCGTGTTCGGGACCTGGATGCGGTTTATGCCAACGTCGATGACTGCCGCGCCCTCCTTCACCATGTCTGCTGTGATCAGCCCGGGAACCCCTAGTCACAGGAACCGGGACCAGGAACAGTTAGAAGATGATCATTAGTTGATCTCTTGTTCACCATCGCATGGGGATGAGTACTATGGATACAATTCAATTCAATTTATATTATCTAAAATCACAAATTTGCCTCGGAGGGCTTTACAATCTGTACAGCATACGGCATCCCTCACATCAGAACAGGAACACATTCAATGCATATGACAGAAACTATTCATATAATGAGTGGACACATCATGGTTGGGTTAATGTGCCTGGGGAAAAGATCCGCTGGGCCCCTACTAACCCCTCATTCTTCCCTCTCTGTGCAACTCCTGGAGACCCCAAAACACAGGTTTAGGGGCAATCTGATTTAACACAAATTCATTTAATATGCACCTTGTAAGCTAAATGCAATTTGAAATAATTCAGATTTTAAAAACAGATTTTGAGGTAGTGCCCCCTCTTGAAGACGGGCCCCCCCCCCCCCCCCCCTCGGGCCCTTGTCGTGTTAATTGTAGCGTGACGCTACAATTAATCAAATGACCAAACAGCGACAGCAGCGAGTCGTTTCCTTTCTGGTCGTCACCTGCTTTTAATCACAGGTTCACTTAAAAGCCAGCAGAAGCAAAAAATGAGAGGAGGCCTCGGCTAACCGTCTACAAGGAAGGGAATAATTATACCATTGTGTATTTATTTTTGAAAACCCTCTCTGCTTTGAAGCTGGCTGCCAGAGAGCTGTCAATTTGAACCACCCAGACTGCAATTACAGCTCCTCAACAATGAGATGAAGTCTGAGTCAAAACCAAATTCAGAACGACGACAATTAAAACATTAAACCCCAGATGCATTGCGGATTCCCACGTGACGTGAAAACAGTTGTGCACCGGGCCGGCTGGAGTTCACTTAATCACACAGTGCAGGGTCCTTATGTCAGTTCCTCATTTGGAAACGTCACACACTGACGGTTGGAACCCTTTGGTGCCCTTCCCATAAGACTGTTTTTAGTCATCAGGAAGCGTTCCACTTATCACAATGGAAGGAGGACGCGGCGCCCTCCCAAGGCTTTCACGGTTAATTAGAGACAGATAGTCCTGCCCTGCACTCACTGACTGGCTATTGTTCTTCAGGAGAGCTGTAATCCACAGTTGGCTGAGAGTACACATACCGAAACTTTTCAGGCTCCATTATTGCCAATTTGACAAGATCCCTTCAAGTAAGGGCTGGTGAGCACTTTCACAACTTGTCCTCTTTGTACCAGGCCGCATGATTTTCTCTCTGGCACTTCCAACGCTGATTAAAGGAATGTGCACCTGAGGCTGGTAATAAAAAGAAAAGGAAAACAAATACAGAATCACTTCCCTTAGAGAAGATTTTTTATCTAATTTGTGATGCAACATTTGAATGGAAGAGGGCATGGAAAAGTACGGTCCTTTAGGGGAAACCATGCACTCACGTAATTAGCTAATCCACTCAATTGAAAGTGAAAACAAAAGAGGAAGTCTTCAGTTATCACTCAGACAAATGTCCATTTGATTCTGCATTTCTTGGTTCACCTTTGACCTAATGTCTTTATTGTTGTGAAAATGAGAGAAATCATTTATAATTTACTTCATTGACTCCATTCAAGTTTGGCTAGAAACTGCCACATTTAACACGGATAGTTTATTACTACGCACCTTTGACGTAAAGGAAATTAACCGACACTGAACAAGAATCATTAGCTGCAGCGCTAAGGCTAAATGATTTGTTGTGTACATGATTCTGAGTTATTAAATCAAGTTAGAAAGCCCTTTTCTCTTAGTGCCGGATGTGTCACTTTGGTGATCAGTTCTTAAAACTGTAAATGAACAAATGTGTCATAACGGTGTGCTTACCTGCGGCTGCGATGATGATGTCAGCCAGGCTGGTCAGCTCCTTCAGCTGTTCCTTCGGCGTGCATCTGTGGGCGATGGTCACCGTGGCGTCACCTGAGAGGACACAAGGGTTTCTGCACCGTCACATTTCACAAAAAGAAGATGCATCAAAAACTCAACGGGTCTCTTCTGGAACATCTTATTATCCCTCTAAAGATCCTACAATAAAGACCACCCCTGCTGTCCTCAGCTAAACTTACTTCACTTTTATGAAGTCATGAAGCTGCAGTTTAAACCTCACAAGCTCCAGTTTACAAAATAAATGCCTTTTAAAAAAAAAGTTCAGCTGCTATTTTATTTACTGCCATTCATACATGTTTTCAAAGTACAGGGAGAAAAGTCCTTTATTCATTTTTTTTAAATATATATATTGGTGCAAAGGACAGAACACTATACACAATGTGTAAGTAATACATAGGAATATACAGATGCAGAAATATAGACGAGAAAAACAAAAAAACTAAATAGACATGACAATGTCTTTTATAAATATGGAAACTAGTCCTTTATTTAGATAAAGTACTCATAAGGTAACATTTACATTTTTTAAGAGCATGTTGATCAATATTTCATGTTAAATAATATAAAACCTGTATATCTTTATATTTTATGCAACTGCATTTGAAAGTAAGAGTTATTACATTTTTTTTTTAAACAACGTTTAATAGTTATTTGTTTTATTTGATCTATCTGTCTGACTCAGCTCAGGAGGTAACAATGATTGTGTGCCACAGTTTAATAAAAAGAAAAGAGTGAGTTTACAAAAGTTTGGAAAAGTACAAGCAAACTGCTTTTTTTCAGGGTGTGTAATTTCGGTACAACCTTCACCTCCATTGTATTGAGTTTCAGGGGAGGATTTCTCAAAAACCGCGCGTGAGACTGAAACCACCAGAAAGAGTGTGTACAGATGTAGTCATCGCGCCACAGCTCTGTGGAAGCCCTCCGGTGACGACACCGTGCGGCCGGTGATTACGCGATGAGGCGGAGCGACATACAAACAGTAATCCTGATCTCTATCTGAAAGTGTGTGGCGACATCCTGCACAGTCGTAACTCAGCTGTGACCTGGAATGTGGGGCGTGATGAGAGGATAACGCAGGGGGGGGGGGGGGGGGGGGGGGGGTTACTGTTTGTATGGCGCTCGGCCTCATCGCGTAATCACCGGCCG